TCTTTCTCTTTTTAAATCTTTCAGTCTCCTCTTTGTTTTTCTTTTTCATTAATTTATTTTTCTTTTCTGTCCATTGGTGCTTTGCCGTGAGTGTCAGGTCCCCTGGAACCGGAAATACAGACAGTTGCAAGCGGCCATGCGGCTGCTGGGAGTTGAACCTAGTACCTCTGGAAGAGCAGTCAGTGCTCTTAACCACTGAGCCATCACTCCAGCCCCTCAGTCTCCTCTTCTATACCTTTCCAAAGAGCCATCCAACTTCCCTCACTTCTGGGATCTCCCCTGCAGGGACTAAGTTCTGGGATCCCAGTTTTAGACACCCTAACTTTACTGTACCTTTCTTTCAACAACTGAGCCTGAACACTTAGGACAAGTTCCAAAGGAAAACTATAAAAAAGATGGATTGGAGGTAGGTGAAAGGAGCTTTGAGACACTTTCAGAAAGCTCAGGACTAAAAACAAACAAACAAACAAGCAAACAACCTCACCCCAGAATTTCTCACTAAATGATTAAAGTATTGTTTGCACCTGTGTGGAATTATGCAAAGGAACAGTACTCCTTCCAATGCAATATTCTATATCAGATCTCAACATGTCAGTTGCAACCCACACAGAGGTCAAATATCAGATATCCTGAATACCAGGTATTTATGTCATGATTCATAAGAGAGCAAAATTACAGTTATGAAGTAGCAGTGAAATAATTCTGTGGTTGGAGTCCTGACATAAAGCACTGTATTAAAGGTATGCAGCATTAGGAAGGCTGAGGATCACTGTTCTAGATGGACCTTTCCATTCCTGAGAGCTTGTTAGTCTTTCAACTTAGTAAACTATTGAATTCTGGTGGAAAAAAATTACACTCCTCTTGGTGTACGAGCACATTTTCTGCTGCTATCACTAGCTGTTAGAGGCTAGATAATTTTTAACAAATAGAGTTTCTTTAACTCCTGGTTGTGGAAGGCTTGGCCTTGGAGATCCTTCAAAGGAGTGTGGATTTTTTTGAGTCTTCTTTCTGATGGGGTCTCTGCAGGGCAGACCAGAACATCCCAGAGCCAGAGGAACCATACAAGAGACAAAGCCAAACTGGTTTGTACCAGACCCACTCTTGGGATGAGACACTACTGTTTTAATAGATGAATCCATCATAAGGGCCTAGCCATCGTGACCTGGTCATTTCTTAACGACCCCACCTGGTCCTCCACTTCCCGAGGGGGATCAAATTTCAACAGGCATGTTGGTAGGATCTAAACAGTAGCAGCTGGCACACCAACATAGCGTTCTAGGCAGGTACCCTGAAATGAATTGGTGGCCACTTGCTGCACCCTCCTAATCACTCAGCCTAGTTTAGCCCACATCTTGGCTCCCCTGGGAATCCACCAACATGAACAGCTTGCTAAGACTTGTCGTTTATGGTTCAGGTACCGCTTGGCTCTAGATTGGAATTCAAAGGTGAAGTTGCTAAAAGACAGAAGAATTAGGCTAACTCAGCAACTCCTGCCATGCCTAGCCCCAGTGTATAATGGCCGGTTGCCTAAGGACACTAAAGTTGTGATTCAAACTTTTGGGGACTCAGATGCCTACCTGACCCTGGTGATAATCATCTGTACTTCCTTCTGTGTGCTGGGCATTGTTCTATTCCTTTTGTATAGAAAGAGTTATAATCCTCAAAGGACACAAGGAAGCAAATTCTACTATTGCCTCTAGTTTGCAGAAAACAAAGAGGCAAAGAGCTTAAAAGCCCAGTTCCCTCTGGGCAGCGACACCCTGGACAGGTAGTCATGCATGCTATAAGAAAGCTAGTTGGGCAAACTCTGGAGAGCAAGACAGTAAAGAACACCTCTCCACAGCCTCCGCTTCAGCTCCTGCCTCCACGTTCCGGCTTGAGTTCCCAATTTCCCTCCGTGAGTGACTGAGACGTGGAAGTGTAAACCAAACAAGCCCTTTGCTCACGGAGTTGGTTTTGGTCAGTGTTTAGTCACAACCACATGAACCAGGTCGCTGAGTCCCGAGAACTCTCTCAAGAGATGGAATAGAAGGTTTAACGTGTGACTTTAGAACAGGGGTTCTCAACCTATGGGTAATGACCCTTCTGGTTCAAAGACCCTGTCACAGGGGTCGCTTAAGACCATCAGGAATCACAAATATTTACATCACAGTTCATAACAGTAGCAAAATTACAGTTGTGAAGCAACAATGAAAATAATTTTGTGGTTGGGGGTCCCCACAACATGAGGAACTAACTGTATTAGAGGGTCACAGCACTAGGAGGATTGAGAATCACTGCTTTAGACATCTAGACACTTGCATGCCAAATAAATAAAGGAAAATTTAGACATAGTTTATCACAAAAGTTAACCCAAGTAGATCTCAGACCTGCTTGTTAAAGAAATACTATAATATTCCTAGAAGACAATATAGAAAGATTGTAACTACTAGAGATTTGGTATAACTTTTTTTTAAGTCCAAGAACAATTTTATTAGTGCTTAAAAGAAACTCCCCAGGGCGAGCTATACATTTTGGCAGCTGCCTGGAGGAAGCAGAAATGACTTTTAAAAATGTAACAGCAAAGGCAGACTCCAAATCACTTCAACTCTCCTGAACGTTAAACCTTTCCTGAGACAGACACTGTTAGTTAAAAGAATAAAAAGCTAAGAATGGGTGGGAGACACTATTTACTATTTACTCGCAGTTGATAAAGAACTCAGTCCAAACGCTGCAAAGAATCCCTGAATCTCAACAGGGCATCCGATGAACCTCCAGGAGGTAGGAACTGACACCTTGCCAAACAAAATACAGAGAGAGCAAAGAGCAAGGGAAAAGGTGCCGAGTTGCCTGTCACTAAGGAACTGCTAATTAAAACTTCCAAGTGGTGCTACACCCCTGCTAGAATGGCTAAGATCCAAAGACACCTGCCAACGCTAACTGCTTGGCAAAGATGCGGAGGTGAAGCCTTCATTCACTGACAATAAGAGTATAAAACAGTAGAGCCACTTTCAACGGCAATGGCATGAACTGGAGTGGTTCAAAGTGCTTGTGCACAACTGTGGGGACCAAGGATCAGAGCTCAGATCCCAGCACCTATGTGAAAACTGATGTGGTTCTTTAACCCCAGCGCAGAGCAGGTGGGGCTTCCTGGCTGCCAGCCTATCTAGAAAACTTGAGCTCCAGGTTCAGCAAGAGACCCTGCCTTGAAAGAACAAAGTGTAGAGTGATAAAAAGACACCTGACACCTTCCTCAGGTCTTGGCACATGTGCACAGGCATGCACACTCATGTGCACACACCACACATGCACACCAGAAATGCATAGCATAACTTCTCTCTCTTTCTCTCTCTCTCTCTCACACACACACATACACACATACCATTCATTCCATGAACCTAAAACAAGACACAACAAAAAAGAAAAATACAGACCTACCTCCCTGTTGAACATAGGTGTAAAGTTTTTCAAAGCACTTGCAAACATAGTTGAAGAATACATTAAGAGGGTCTCAAACCACAACCAAATTGGTTTCCTACCAAGGATGCAAGGTTGATGAAATGCACACAAATTGTATATATATTATGTGGCACATGTTGTATAAATAGACATTAAGGGCAGAAGTCACATGGTTGTCTCAATATATGTAGAAACATAGTTTTATAATAGAAGTCATGCAGATATCAGGACTAGACAGACATGACTCAACAAAACAAAAACCATTTATAACAAATCTAGAGCTAGGATATTAAATGGGGAAAATTTGAGAGCATTTCCTCTAAGATCTGGAATTAAACAATTATGCTCTTTTCCCACAGTTGCTCCTCTGTTATTCATGTGGTACTCAGTCTGAGCTAGAGCAACAAAACAAATGGAACATATAAAGGGGTTCCAGATAAGAAAAAAGGAGTCCAGTTATCCCGATTTGCAGTCAGAATGATGTCACAGTTAAAAGATGCTACAGACTCCACCAGAAGATTTTCAGATGCTAACAAACCCTTCCAGTAGAGTTGGAAGATATAAAAACAACGTGCAAAAAAAAAAATCAGTATCTGTTTATAAACCAATAACAAACTTGCCCAGAAAAAGAAAAGAAATGTATTCCGTTCTCAATAGCTTCCCTTTAAAAATACCCAGGAATGGGGCTGGAGGGATGCTCAGCACTTGAGAGCACTGACTGCTCTTCCAGGGGACCCAGGTTCAGTTCCCAGCACCCACGTAGCAGCTCACACCTGTCTGTAACTCCAGTTCCAGGGCTTCTGACACCCTCACACAGGCAGACAGACATGCAGGCAAAACGTATGCATATAAAATAAAAATAAATTATTCTTAAAGACACCCAGTAACAAAGCTTAGGGAACAAAAGACTTGTATGAGGTAAACTTCTTAAGATCTATTTTGGGGCTGTGAGATAGCTCAGTAAGTAAAAGTGTCCACGCGCGCGCATGCACACACACACACACACACACATATAAACACATGTGGAGGTTAAAGGACAGTCTCATATGTCAGTCATTGCCTTCCACCTTGTCTGAGACAGGATCTTTGTCATTCTCTGTCATCTACACACCAAGCTAGCTCTCCTGCAAGCTTCCAAAAAGTCTCCTGTGTGTGCCTCCATCTTGCCATAGAAGCACAGGAGATTATTCTTCTGTGTCTAGTTTACATGGGTTCCAAGGATTTGAACTCAGGTCTTCATGCTTATGTGGCAAAGGCTTTACCCACTGTGCTAGCTAGTTTTATGTCAATTTGACACTAGAGTTAGTTGAAAGGTGGGGGGGGGACCTCAATTGAAAAAAGACGCCTCCATAAAATTTGGCTGTCAGGCAATTTTTCTCAAGTAATGATTGGTGGAGAGGGCCCAGTACACTGTAGGTGGTGCCATCCCTGGGCTGGTGGTCCATGGGTGCTTTAAGAAAGCAGGTTGAGCAAGCCATGGGGAGCAAGTCAGTGATCAGGACCTCTCCATGGCCTCTGTTCCAGCTCCTGCCTCCAGGTTCTTGTCGTGTTTGAATTCCTGTCCTGACTTTCTTCAGTGATGGACCACCACGTGGAAGTGTAAGTCAAATGAGCCTTTTCCTCCCCAACTTGCTTTTGGTCATGGTGTTTTATCCCAGTAATAGAAGCCCTAATTAGGACCACCCCTGAGTCGCCTCTTCAGTCTGATGACGAGGTTTTTCCAAGCATAGCCATCTCTTTTGTATTTGTGTCTATGCACAAGTCCTGCAATTTACAGCATGGCTGGATTGCTGCAATTTGCTGTCCACGTCTCTCTCCTGTGCCAAAGAAATAAAAGTCAACATTACTGGCAGATTAGCAAATATAGAACAATAAGTAGACCAGTGTGTGGCAGAAAGGTGGCAACACATGTCATAGCCAGGCAGAGGCGATCCTTGAAAATCCTGTTGGCTCTGGTTCCTGGAGGAAGGAACAGTTTAGGGGCTTCCCCACAGGAATACTGAGAGTGGGGATTTTAATTCCGATTTTACAGTGAGGGATGTAACTCCATGGTGCAGAAGCTTAACCGTGCAAAGGCCTGCCTACGACTTCACAATCCACAAGGGCTACCTCGCACCCAAGCTGTGGTTTTCACTCTCACAAACGGATAACTGAAAACTACCCACAGTGCTAAGTTCCTCCATCATCCACAGTCCTCAAACCCAATTATCCAGCATCCAGACATAGCCGCTGAACCTTGACTGGAAGCAACGGGAGATTTTTCTGCAGAACCTGGTCCAGCACCTTCCTTGTACTTTCTAAGACTCCTCGGTGCTTGCTGGGTTATCCAGACAGCTCATCCACATGTTATCTTCCAACAGCATCAGCAGGCAAATCCAGAGCTGAGTGAACTTATCTTAGAAATACTTTGGGACTTTGGAGATAGTTTGGTCGATAAAGGGCTTGCCTTGCAAATTTGAGAATCTGGGTTCTACCCTTGGGACCCATGTGAAAATGCAGAATATAATGGCCTGGTTTTAGTCCCAGCCCCAGGAAGGAAGAAATGGGCAGATCCCTGGGGTTTGCTGGTCAGTCAGCCTACACTACTTGTTGAGCTCCAGGCCAGTGAGAAACTTTTTCTCAAATAAACAAACAAACAAACAAATAAAACAAGGCTTGTGATGCATGCCTTTAATCCCAGCACTCCGGAAGCACAGGCAGGCGGATCTCTGAACTCCAAGCCAGCCTGATCTACAGAGTGAGTTTCAGGACAGTCAGGGCTACATAGAGAAACCCTGTCTCAAAAAAAGGCAAACCAAAACAAAAAACACAAAAGTTAAAGTGAACAGCTCCCTGGCAGCTACTGGAAGAATGGCAGATCTTCTGCCCTCCACATGATGCATGTGCACACACCTGTCCCTCCCGTGTGTGCTCACACACACACACACATATTCTATGAATACACAGAAAGAACAATAAATACTCTAATATTCCTTCTTAGTAAATACTGCTGAGGGGGAGCCACTTTTGAGCCACTATGACAGGAGCGTGGTTGGTGTGGGAATGCACACTAGAATCTCAGCACTCAGAAGGCCTAGACAGGAAGATGGAAAGCTTAAAGCCAATCTGGGCTACAAAGGGAGCCTTGTCTAAAATTAAAATAAATGAAAAGAGAAGGGGCAAAAGAGGGGAAGAATGGGGGAAGAATCGAGGGAGGAGAAGTGGGGAGAAAGGAAGGGAACAGAAGGGAGAGGAGCTTTAGAAGGCAGAGGCCTAGGACACAATCCAAGGTTGCTCTCTCTGTGTTTACATGTCTGAGAGCTGATACTTCTTACTTGCGTGCGTGCAGGAAGTTGCCTCAAAATGAAATTAGAATATTCTTAGCCTGCAGGTGGCTCTGGTAGCCACAAACAGATGGAAGTTCTGCAATGACTATGAAGTGGGTCAGGGCATTGCTTGTGGGGCGGCGGGAGACCATGTTGCTTTCTAAACGAAGACTCTGAAACCCGCAACAATTGCAATCAGTGGGAAAGTGGCTTCCTGGTCCTGAGTCTGCAGTACCCTAAGGAGACAGTTCAGGATTTGAGGAGTGGAGTTGGGGGTCAGCCAGGAGTCCCTAAGTTCTGTCAAGATTTCAGAGACATTTTTCAAAGACAAATGCATCATTCTCTTTTCTAAAAGGAAGTACATCAAACTCAGGGAAAGACTAAAGGCTGGTGTTATCTTTTATAATCGCATATGGATCTGTGGTAGAAAGACTATCTCCAACTTCAGCTGGTGAGATATGGCTCAGTGCTTGCTGACAAACCTAGGTACCTGAGTTCAAGCCCAAGAAGCCATGGAAAGATGGAAGGGCAAACTCACTCCCCTAAATTATCCTCCGACCACCACACATGTAGCAAGGTACACATATACATTCTCTCTCTCTCCTTCTCCCTCTTCCCCCCACCATAAAAAGTGAAAATAGAAGAATCATGTTTTTTTGGTTTTTTTTTTTTTATGTGTGCTGTGTGTGATGACAGACACATGCCTACAGGTTTAAGCTGTCTTTCTAATTATAACCATTAACCGTGTGGCTGGCCATGATGTGCGGGCCTGTTGCTCCATCACTTGGGAGGCTGAAACAGAAGGAATATAAGTCTGAGGCCACCTGGGCTACATAGCAAGTAACGGTACATCCTAAGCGACAAACAAGTCCATCATGGTTCGGTGATACCATCCTCAGGGGCAGCAGAGAGAGCTCTGCTTTTATCTTTCCTTTCCTGGTGAGACCCTAAATCCCATCTCCAAAGAGCTGTGTATACTGCAAGCCTGCATCTCTCCCTCCTAGGGGAACCCCACCAAAAATCCCTGGCTCTTCCAGATTGTCAGATCCCGAGATGGGAATATGAATCATTGCTGCAGCCCTGGGCTCCAGGCCTTGTCAGAGACCCAGATCCCAACCCACACTTGCAAGTCAGAATCCGCATTCTTAAAAGACTCTGCATTTATGAACCCCTGGTCTACACTGTGCTGTGTTTGAGATATGTCACCAACTTGTATGAGAGTTAAGACAGAGCCAGGACTACTACCAGGACTTTGCTGTCCTCTTTTGTGAAATGAGGAAGTGTTGAGTTTTGTTGGCACGAATCAAGGTGTCTGCAGTGCTGGGAAGCCCTGGAGGACAGTTGGTTTCTTGCCTGCCTTGATTTCAAAGGCCACCCACATCTCAAAGTCAGCCAAGGCCAGTCATGACTTCACTTCCTGTCACTACAACCTCTGCTTCTGTTGCCATAGCTCCTTCTCAGACTGACTCTCCTGCTCCTGGCTGTCACTCCTAAGGATTCTTGTGATTGCACTGGTGCACCTGGGGAGGCCAGGATAACCTCCCCCTTCTAGGCTGCTTTCTGTTGTGATGAGCACCCGAGACTTCGGTTCATAAAAAATGGGGGTTTATGTTGGTTCACAGTTCTGGAGACTGCCAATGCAAGATCAGGCAGCCACACCCGGGGAGGCCTGTGCTGTATCATTACGTGGATAAAAAGAAAAGTCAGTGGATGCATGCAGAAGGGACGGGCATGAGAGGGGGTTTTAACAACCACTCCCAGAGTCACTGACAGGAAAAACTTCACTGTTATCTTTCTGAACCACTAAGTCACACCAGAAGGCCCCACTTCCATTTGAACTTTAGAGGAAAGATCATATCCAACCATAGCGTTCCCTCTTACCACCAACTAATTAGCAGCATTTATCCATATAACATACATCATATATATCACATACATGGGCTCCAGGGGGTGTGGCATTGGTGACTTTAAGGGACCAGTGCTCTGCCTGCTATATCAATCACGTCATGAGGTTGTTACTTCATCTGGCAAATAGCACTGAGAAAGGTCAGTTATTTATTATTCTGTTGTTATTTTTGAGCTAAGCATCTCATTATGTAGCCCTGGCTGTCCTGGTCTTCCCAATGCTGCTCAGGTGGCTTCAATCACTCTCAACAATCCTCCTGCCTCCGCCTCCCAGGCACTGGGATTATAAACACATACCAGCACAGTGGGAAAACATTGCACTTTTGGGAGCCTATGGTTCAAAGACAGCCTGCTCTGCTCTCTGAAAGTACAGCACTTGGTGTGGTGGTTTGAAAGAAAATGGTCTCAAAGGGAGTGGCATTAATGAGTGGTGTGACTTTGTTGGAAGAAGTGTGTCACTGTGGAGGCGGGCTTTGAGGTCTCATATATGCTCAAGCCATGCCCAGTGAGACAGTTCACTTCCTTTTGCCTACAAGATGTAGAACTCTCAGCTACCTCTCTAGCACTATGTCTGCCTGCCTGCTGCCATGTCCCACCATGCTGATAATGGACTGAACCTCTGAAACTGTAAGAGAGCCACCACAGTTAAATGTTTTCCTTTATAGGAGTTGCAGTGGTCATGGTGTCTCTTCACAGCAGTAGAAACCCTAACTCAGACAGAAGGTGGTACCAGGCACAAGGGTATTGTTGGGATAGACCTGACCATGTTTTTATTTGAAGGACTATGCGACCATGAATTAGAAAAGCAGTTGAACGCGTTGAGTGCTGCTTCTGGACCATCCTAGCGGGAGCATGGAAGACAGAGGCACTGAGTGCGACCTGATGAACTGAGGGGGCCTGGTTCAAGATGTTTCAGAAGAGAAGAATGTTAGCATGTGGCTTCGAGACGGGTCTTGTGATAGTTTGGTGAAGAAAGTAGCCGCTTTTTGCCCTTGTCCAACGAGTCTGTCTGCCGCTAAAGTGAAGAGTTTAGGATTAATTCCCTTGGCAGAAGAAATCTCAACACAGCCTAGTGGAGACTCTGTTGTGTGGTTATTAGTGTTAACTCTAAGGAAGATATATAACAAAAAGGAGTAAGCTGAGCAGGTAGGAAAAGGAGCACCAGGAAGTGGAACGGAGCAAGTCCTGGTGTTCAAGGAGACAAACAGATTAAGAGATGGAATAAAGGGAGTGGTGAATTCTCTCCTATGGATGATGTCATAGGAGCATCGATCACATGGTCATTCTTCCATTCATTCGTTCACTCTGTGATGATTAATCTTCCTTGTCAAGTCAGCCAGATCTAGAACCACCTGTCTCCAGGAATGTTCTGTGAGGGTGTTTCCAGAAAAGATAAACTGAAGAGGGAAAACCCACCCTTAGAATGGACAGGACCATATGGTAGGCTAGAAGACTGAATAAAGGAACCGGCATTCATTCCTCTTTGCTTCCTAACTTCAGAAGTCATGTGACCAGATGCCTCATGCCTCTCCACCCACCATCTGTCATGATGGTCTGTCCCCTCACAGTGGGAACCACAGTAAACCCTTACTTCCTGAAGTTGCTTCCATCGGGTTATTTTGTCTCAGTGACAAGGAATATATGCATTCCTTCAGTGAATAGTGAACCTCCACCATGAGCAAGGTGCTGGAGATACACCAGGGACCATGGCCTACTTCCTCAGAAATGCTGTAGATCTCTCTGTGGAAGTCAGAGGGAAGCTGACTGGCCTTGGGTCTCCCAACCTTTGATTCCACACAGCTACTTCAGCGTTTCCTGTTTCACACTCGGGGAGTTGACACTTCTCTAGTGCCTGACACGCAGGAAGCCCTTAGTTACAGGAACACAACAGCCTCTTAGTATCTGAAGACGGGGACAAGCCTTTTCCCAGCATTGCCTCCTCCGTGGGTCCCACCCCAGGTCCTTCAGGTTCTAATTGTGAAAGCATCTTTTGGCTCTTCTCAGGCCCCATCCACCGGCTCTGCTCCACACACATCCACCGTGCAGTAAACAGCTGCCTCTACTCTGCCAACTCTCCACTTCTGAGCCATGTCTGTTGCTCAGTTTGTCCTGTTTCTGAAATCTAGTTGGCCTCTCCTGCCATTTTTCTTTCTTCTGATCACTGGAGTTGTGTTCTTCCACCAACTGCAGGACTCCTTCAGCCAGGAAGCCCTGTTTGCCAGGGTGAGAAGAGGACTTACCACTTGTGCACACTCGTGTCCCCCACTCCCTCATCTCAGAGCCATGCCGACACCCAACCCCCTCAGGCAGCCCAGCAGAGGCATCGGAAGCTGCTTGAAGGAGCTGTCTCAGCGTTTGCTTTCAACTTCTAATAACACCTGGCATTCGCTGCGCTGTTCACAAACCGCTTTGACAGGGCTGCATTTAATTTGAGCCTCCAACGCCCTTCTGAGGCAAGCAGGACAATGAATCCCATCCTGGCTCTGCAGCAGAGGAGCGGGGCTTAGACGGAGTCGGCCCCTCATGAAAATCCAGGGGCTCTAAAACTGCAGAAGCAGTCCCACAACCAGACTTAAGGCTAGCGCTTCCCTCCCAGTGGTCTGCTTCACCTACAACACTGTTCCCGAGGTTTCAGGACCTTAGGTCGGTTTTGCAGCTAAGCTTGTCAAAGGAAGCAAGGCAACAGTATTAATCCTGGCTTGGGGAAAATGACTCCACCCTCCTCAGTGTTTGCCGCTGGTTCTGTTGGGAACCACAAACAAAGCTAGCACGGAGAAGACAAAGCTTCTACTTGTATTTCATTTTGAGTCCTCTTCCAAGCTCAAAGGGGGTTTGAGGGGGAGAAAAACCACATCGCTGTCTTTGTTACGTGATGCAATACCACAGGGAAATTATCCAGCTTGGCTACAGGAGGGCTTTTCCTCTGATGAAGTTGGGCAGCCATTTTGCAGCCAATGAAGACACTCAGCAAAAGCCACAGCAGAGCACTGACCGGCACAATGATTTTCCTCACCAACAAGTTTGATCTGGGCACAAGTACACACACACACACACACACACACACACACACACACGTTGTCGTTAATGCTCACTGCTCTCTGCTCTGGCTGATCAAGTTACATATGCACAGGCCGTTTATTCCATACGGGACTATTTGTCTTCTGGACTGTGTCTTCGCTAACTTGAGGGGTGCCATGATTTCCTTTCTAATGTTGTGGCCCTTTAATACAGTTCCTCACGTTGTGGGGACCCCCCCATCCATAAAATTATTTTCATAGTTACTTCATAACTGTAATTTTTGCTACTGTCATGAATCATAATGTAAATATCTGCTAGGCAAGAGATCTGATATGAGACCCCTGTGGGGTTGAGGCCCACAGGTTGAGAACTGCTACTGCGGGTGGTTATGGAAAAAGGCTTGGAGTTGGCTTCTCAGATGGACCAGTGGCCCTGGAAATTTCTACCCAGTCTACCCAAGCTAGCTAAAATCTTCCAGAGTCTCCTGTCCAGGGAGAGGTGGTCTTCCCTATGGAAGTGCACACTAGCGGGTTGTCCAATGCAAATGGTCAATCCTGAACATACATACATACATACACACACACACACACACACACACACACACACACATCACATCACATATATTGTACAAACTAAACAGGTTATATTTAGAAATAAATATATGTATATTCATATACATAAATGTATTCAGCAACAATTATTTAAAAAGAGGCCATGAACTTGAAGGGGAGTGAGAAGCAGTATATGAGAGGGTTTGGGGAGAGAAAAGGGAAGGGAGAATTGCTATAATTAAATTATAATCTAAAATAATAAAGATTCTCCCATTCAAGAACAGTTCAGCTCTGCCACACACACTAAACCAGCTACCTAAAATAAGCCAGGTGCGAGCACCCCGGAGTTGCTTGACACAAAGCCTGGATGGCGACCAGGAGATCTGACCCATCTGGTCAGCCTTCTAACTCTCTAGTGACACAGTCATCCATCCCCAAACAGGCTACAGAAGCCATGACAACAGAGTCAGTTGTCCTTACACCGTCTAACATAGTTTCTCCACCTTAACACCGCTGCTATTTGCGGCAGCCTAACTCGTCACCGAGAGAACTGTCCTGTGTGTGCCCTGTAAAATGGTGAGCAATGTTCTTCATCTCCACTGGCTGGGTGCTATAGTTTAGATCTTGACTGTCCCCCTCAGGCCCCTCATCTTGGTGCTGATGGGAAGTGTAGAAATCTTCAGGAAACGGAAACCATTGGGAGGTCTGAAGTCACTGGGCATCCCTTGAAGCGACTTGTAGAACTCTATTCTCTTTTGTTTCCAACTACGAGAGGAGCAGCCTTCTTTGGCCACATTCTCCCACTCCAATATTCTTTCCCTTTCCACAGGGACAAAGTGGCAAGCTTACTGACCATAGATTGAAACTTCCAAAACTGTGAGTCAAAATGACCTTTTCTCTTTTTTGTTTGTTTGGTTTTGGTTTTGGTTTTTTTGGGGACAGACCCTTACTCTGTAGCTCTGACTGTCCTGGAATTCACTGTGTAGACTAGGATGACCTAGAGCTCACAGAGATCTGTCTGCCTCTGCCTCTAAGTGCTGGGATTAAAGGCATGGGCCACTATGTCTATCCCTTTTTTATATTAATTATATTGAGTGCTTTGTTACAGTGATAAAAAGCTGACTAACACCCCAGTTTATTCCACAAAATTGCAACAGGCGAAAATCTCCTGGGACATGTTCATCCCTGACTGATCTGCACTATATACTCCCATAGCACAGTATAAAATGAGTTACCGTGCAGACTGCATCCATCAGTCTAAAATTGCTGCAAACATCCCCCACCCCTTCTTCCTCTTTGTCTCTCTTGTATCTCACTAATTGGGCCAGGCTAATGTTTGGCTGACAGTTCTCCTGCCTTAGTCTCCCACATGCTGGGATTACAGGGTACGCTGCCACACCTAACACATTTAACCATTTCATACTTAGCAATTGCACAAATGGCCGTAATGCAAGCATCGGTTAGTTATGTGCAGAAAACTAGAATCTATTGTGGATAGTGGCAGCCTTGTTTCTCTGAGCTCTATCGCCCCTTCCTCTGGTGGGAACCTCCTTTAGTTTTCCTTTTCCCTCGCAGGGCAGGCTTCTAAGATAAGCTTGCTTTGCTGTTTGTTTTCATTTTCTTTCGCCTAAATAAGGACTTGCACCCAGAAGGGCAAGCTGCGGAGTCAGTATTTACAGAGCCTCTCAAAGTGTCTGCTATCGTTGTCATAACAGAGCAGGTCAGGAACCCAAAGGGGAAGCAAACCAAGACAAGGAATATGCATCCGCCTTCATTTCCCGTGGTCTCATTGTCAGTCCTTGCTGGGATAGCAGGATTTTTTTTTTCATGAGTCGTTATTGCTGGTGACCCAAGTAAAGGGAAAACATACATTTGTCAAACTTTATTTGTGAGTAAAATACTGGAGGGTCCTTCTACCTTTGCAGCTGTGGCTTTAGGACCGGCAGCTGTGTATCAGAACTCCCTTTCAGCACCCTTCCTTGCTACAGGAGACCTAAAAGCAAACAGCATTTATTGCTCAGTTTCCTGGTGAGTCACACAGCCTATTAAGAGTGTAGCAAGGCAAGCTAGGATGACTAATGAAACAAATACAAGACGGTCTCTTGTTTTGTTTTGTTTTAATTAAAGAAAGTTTACTTGGCCTAATGTTAAGGTTCCTTTGGCTATAGTCCCTACCAGTTCGAACACTTGTCTTTAAATGTGATAATCACCATTAAGCAATTAAGGCAATTCGGGTTTAGATACAAAGCAATTTGAAGAGTGCTGAAGAGACAGCCCAGTCAGTTAAAGTACAAAAGCGAAAGCCGGCTTAAATCCCCAGATCCCACCTTTAAACCAAAGGATGAAAAAAGTCTGGCTTGGTGGCCCTTAGTGCTGGGGGAAGTGGATGGCAGATCCCTAAGGCTCAGTGGCCAAGCAGCCAGTCTACCTAGTGAGTTCCAGGGTAAAGACAGACCCTGTCTCAAATAAAAAGGAGGCCAGTACCAGTGTACTCTGGCCATATCCATGAAAACACTCACGTGTGTGTGTGTATATGTGTGTGTGTGTGTGTGTGTGCACAATCTAAAGAATAGGACTGATAAATAAACACTTAATAGAAAAGTTAAAGCAATGAATACTCTTTTCTTTTCCAACAGTGGGATTCTGTCGCTGTTCTCCATCCCAGCAGAAGATTCTGATTTGTGAGTCTACCCCTAAATAAATAACCATCTATTATTCTCAAAAAAAAAAAAAAGAAAGAAAGAAAAGAAAAAGAAAAGGAAAGAAAGAAATGAACACTCTTGCTTACCAATAGACCTGGGACCTAGGAATTGTTAAAGCAGGCAGGATTCTTAGAAGTTTCCTAGGCCAATCCTTATTTAGTTATTTATTTTGTAACTAATAGCCAAACGGAAGCCACACCTGAAATCTCTCAGGCCACCTGAACAGGAAGCCACATTTATGAATAAGTACGTCTGTTTCTACCTCCTCTTATCACATCTCTGGCGTGAGGGGTCTGAGGTTTCCTCCTCGAAGCATGCTGTTTCCTGCAGATAACACAGCAGATCTCTCACCTCAGCACGCACTGCCTTTTCTGTGCTGATGACACGGAGCAAGGAGATGCTCATCACCCCAAACTCTGCTGGCGGTGGCTTTGCTTTCTAGCACATCCCCCGCCATTCTGGGTTTGCTTAGCACAGCAAGATTGTGTATCAGAGGTTAGAGGCCATTTCCATGACCACTTCCATGCTGGGCCCTGAGGCCAGTGTCTGGCAGTTTAGATGCATTTCCTGCACGCTCCTTAACTCTGGTCTTGATGTCAAAGACACCAGAGGAGCAGGGGTCCAATAGTTGCTTAATTAGCTTTTACATATATTCCCTTCCCTGCTTTAAGTGTCTGTAAACTCATAGGTTTGGACATTAACCTGGTTCTAGATCTGTGACATATGATAACAATAAGCTATAAACAGAACTATAAACATGTTGGCAAATGTCAGTATTTATAGTGGATTTTTACACTTTTTTGGGTTAAATATTGCCATAAACAATGGAATTGACAACCTCTCCCCCACCCCTAAAAAAAAAATCCAACATTTAAAGTTGGATTTCAAAGTCTTCAAGAAATGAATAAATAAGAGTTGTCACAATTAAGGTGCTTTACTCTTTCACAATTAAGGTGCTTAAAACTGGAGGCAATTCACCAAGTGAGCTCTGGCTGATGCAATGATTGTCCTACCCTAAGAGGGCCCCTAGGTCCATGTGAAGATAACTTCATCCAAAGGGAGTGGAACAGCATTTACGGAGTGATCACAAAGCTCCAGCGAATGGTAACCAAAGGGAAGAAGCTTACCTGGAGAGAAAGCCTTCCCGTGTCATTTCAGGCACAATAACAGGTCGGGTATTTCAAGGGACAAGTAAGGAGAAACATCAAGATCATGCGGAGCAAAAAGACATTTCAGGATAAGCCAAAGAAAATAACACCTATTAAACTTCTCGGGCTAATCAACGCAGCATTACGCCCTATAATGTTGTTGGGGCTATTAGTATTAATAATAGTCATCATCATTTATGACGAGTGCAGCCTAGAGGACAGGTTTGCAGCAGCGAGAAGATGAACAGATAGACTTGAAAGGAAACCTCCACTGCGTTCTGGGATGCCACGCAGACTGCGCGCTCCAAGAACAAAGGCCTTCACCGCGTCGTTATCGTAAAATTACCACCCGAGCACATGCAAGACAGCTGTTCTCTTCCCAGCTCAGCTTCTGTAACTGAAGAAGATGACACTAACATAGCTGCCTTGGGTGACTAGAACAGCAGTGTGTGCTGGTTGGGAACCTACGTACTCTTCTTACTAATGTTTATCCTTTTTCAGAAGTATCTTGCCACTGTACTTAGAAATATATATATTGCATATGTATATGTGTATATATATATAATAGAAATATTACGAGAAAATACAAAGCCCTATCAATAACTTTAGACAGCCCGTTAATTCAAACTTTTACTGATATAATTGTAGAGTCCCAGGCAGCCATAAAACAATACGGATAATACTTTCTACCAGTTTCCCTGTTTCGCTACATAAGCAAGAAGCTGGCACTGGTTCAGCACACATCATATACTTATTTCTCTGGTTCAATATCTATTAATGTTTGTGTGCTTCACGTGTACACAAATGTTTTCATCATTTCACACATAGGACACTCCATTTCCATCGTGATTTGCCCTCTACCTTCTCACCCCCCACCCCAGTGCTATACATATATATATATATATATATATATATATATATATATATATGCAATAAAAGCACTCACCTTTCCCTCTCCCCCATCTATCACCCCTGGCAACTACTAATCTATCCTCCAAAACTGTGTCATGCAGAAATTGTTGCAGAAGCAGAACCATACAGTATGTGGCCTTTTCAGATTGGCTTTTACACTCACCATAAATACCCTAAAGATTTATCCAAGTTATTGCATTCAACAATTTTTTGGCTCATTTTAACTCTTGCATAATCATCCATTTATTGAAAGTCATGAGCTCCCTAGAGCCCAGTTATCCCACCACAGGAGGCCCTGAACTCCAACATAGTTGAAACACAAAACAAAAAACAAAATAAAACAAAAGTTAGAACCACCTATATGAAGATGATAGAGGTCCTTAAAGAGGAAATGAATAAATCCCTTAAAGAAAGCCAGGAAAACACAACCAAACAATTGGAGGAAATGAACAAATCCCTTAAGGATATCCAAAAAAATACAAACAATTGATGGAAACAAATAAAATCATTCAAGATCTGAAGATGGAAATAGAAGCAATAAAGGAATCACAAACTGAGGGAATCCTGGAAATGAAAAATTTAGGAATTTGAACAGGAGCTACAAAGGCAAGCTTCACCAACAGAACACAGAGATGGAGGAGGAAAGCTCAGGCTTTGAAGATACAGTAGAAGAAAAGGAAACACTGGCCAAAGAAAAGGTTAAATCTAAAAAATTCCTGACATAAAATATCCAGTAAATCTGGAACACAATGAAAAAAACCAAACCTAAGAATAATAGGAATAGAGAAAGACGAAGAATCCCAAGCTCAAAGATCCAGGAAGACTTTTTAACAAAATCATAGAAGAAAATTTTCTTAACCTAAATAAGGAGATGTCTATAAAGGTAGGAGAAGCATGCAGAACATCAAAGAAGTCCCCTGGACCAGAAAAGAAAGTCTCCTCACCACATAATAATCAAAATACTAAACACACAGAACAACAACAACAAAAGAATATTAAAATCTGCAAGGGAGAAAGACCAAGTAATAAATAAAAGCAGATCTATTAGAATTACATCTGATTTCTCAGTGGAGACTCTAAAAGCCAGAAGGGTCTGGACAGATGTCCTGGAGACTCTAATAGACCACGGGTGCCAGCCCAGACCCGGCAAAACATTCAATCATTATAAATGGAGAAAATAAAATATTCCATGCTAAAACCAAATTTAAACAATATCTATCTACAAATACAGCCCTACAGAAGGTACTAGAAGGTTAACTATACCCATGAAAACCCAGGAAATAATCTCACATCAGCAAAACCAAGAGAAGAGACATACACACAGGAACACACACTACCACCACCACCACCACCAGCAACCACAAAATAACAGGAATCAACAATCATTGGTCAGTCTTATCTGTCAGCATCAATGGTCTCATCCCCTCCTCCCAAAGGCACAGACTGACAGAATGAATGTGAAAACAGGATCCATGTTTCTGCTGCATCCAAGACACACACCTCAACATTAAAGATAGACATTATCTCAGGGCAAAAGGTTGGGAAACGATAGTCCAAGCAAATGAACCTAAGAAGAAAACTGGTGAAGACATTTTAACTTCTAACAAAATAGACTTCAAATCTAAATTAATCAAAAGAATTGGGGAAGGATACTTCATAGTCATTCAGCAAAGGAAAAATCCGCAAGATGACATTTTAATTATCCCTGAACACAAGGAAACTCACTTTTATTTTGAAACAACAACAAAACCCACAACTACAGCTTAATTCACATGTTGATCATCACACACCGATAGCGGGAGACTTTAGCTCCCGGTCTCACTAATGGGTGGGCCATCCAGAAAAAGACTATACAGAAAAATGCTGGACCTAACAGACATTTACAGAACATTTCACCCAAACACAAAATAATATACCTTCTTCTCAGTACCTCATGAAAGTTCTCAAAAACTGACCATATGTTCAGCACAAAGCAAGTCTCAACAGATTCAAGAAAATTGAAATAATTGCATGTAGCCTATCAGACCATAGCAGATTAAATCTGGATATCAACCACAACAGAAACAACAGAAAGTAACTCATGAAACTGAATGACCTCCTACAGAATAAAAAATGGGTCAAGACAAAAATAAGAAAGAAATTAAATACTTTATAGGCTGCAATGAAAATGAATACACAGCATGCCCAAACACACGGGACACAATGAAAGTGGTGTTAAGAGGAAAGTTCATGTCACTAAGTGCATACATTAAAAAAAAAAATGGAGCAACCTCATGCTAGCAATCTACTAGCACACTGAAAAACTCTAGAACAAAAACTAGGTTCACCCAAGAGGAGTAGATGGCAGGAAATAATCAAACTCAGAGCTGAAATCAGTAAAATCAACAAAGAGAACAACACAAAGAACCAATTAAACAAAGAGTTGTGTCTTTGAGAAAAATCAACAAAATAGACAAACCCTTATCTGAACTATCTAAAAGGTAGAGAGCAAACATCCAAATTAACAAAGTTGGAAGTGAAAAGGGGGACGTAACAGGTCATAATGGACATGGAGGAAATCCAGAGAATCATCAGGACATACTTTAAAAACCTACACTCCACAAAATTGGAAAATCTAAAAGAAATGGACAATTTCCTTGATAGATACCACTTACCAAAGTTAAAACAAGATCAGTTTAAATAGACTTATAACCCTCAGTGAAATAGAAGTAGTCACTAAAAGTCTCCCAAGCAAAAAAAGCCCGCATGCCAAATAGTTTTAGTGCAAAATTCTACCAGGTTTTCAAAGAAAAGTTAACAACAATACTCCTCAAATTATTCCAGAAAATAGAAACAGAAGAAACCATGCCCAATTAATTTTATGAAGCCACAGCTACCCTGATAACCAAACAACATAAAGATTCAACAAGAAAGAATTACAGATCAATTTTCCTTATGAGCATAGATCCAAAAGTACTTAATAAAGTACCTGAAAATCAAATTCAAGAACAAATCGAAAAGATCATCTCCCATGAACAAATAGGCTTCATCCCAGAGATTCAGGGATGATTCAATGTACAAAAATCAATAAACATAATTCACCATATAAACAAACTGAAAAAAAAATTCTCATGATCATCTCATTAGATGCAGAAAGGGTCTTTGACAAACTCCAATACCCCTTCATAATGAAGGCCCTGGGGACATTAGGTATACAAGGGACATACCTAAACATATTAAAGGCAATTTAAAGCATGTCTATAGCCAACATCCAAATAAATGGAGAGAAACTCAAAGCAATTCCACTAAAATTAGGAACAAGACAAAGTTCCACTCTTTCCATATCTATTCTAGTTAGCACTTGAAGTCTTAGCTAGAGCAATAAGACAACTAAAGGAAATTAAGGAGATGAAAATTGGAAAGGAAGAAGTCAAAGTACCATTATTTGCAGATGGTATTATAGTATCCACAAGTGACCCTAAAAATTCTACCAGGGAACCCCAACAGTTGATAAACATTTTCAGCGAAGTGGCTGGATACTAGATTAACTCAAAAAAACCTCAGCAGTCCTCTGATACACAGATGATAAATGGACTGAGAAAGAACTCAGGGAAACAACACCTTTCATAATAACTTCAAATAATATAAAATACCTTGGGATAACTCTAACCCAGCAAGTGAAAAATTTACATAACAAGAACTTCAAGGTTTTGAAGAAAGAAATTGAAGAAGATATAAGAAGACACAAAGATTTACCATGTCCATGGATTGGCAGGATTAACATAACAAAAATGATGCTCCCACGGAAGACAATCTACAGATTCAATGAAATCCCCTTCAAAATTCCAGCACAATTCTTTTTTAAATTTTTCTAAAAATTGTATGTGCATTGGTATTTTGCTGTGGGTGTCAAGTCTTCTGAAACTGGAGTTACAGACAGGTATAAACTGTCATGTGGGTGCTGGGAATTGAACCCAGGTCCTCTGGAAGAGCAGTCAGTGCTCTTGACCACTGAGCCATCTCTCCAGCCCCCATCCCTAGAGGGGTTGCATGGATCTCCTGGAGAAGGGGAAACAGGATAGATTTTGCAGGTGGACTCTGGGAAGGTGGGAATGGGGGCAGAAGGGATCAGGTGTGTGGGGGAGGATGGGATGGGAGGAGAGAGTGCAGGAGGGA